AGGGAGAAGGGTTAAAATGGACTAGGAGGATAGATATATGTCTATAGAAGGAACAGTAAGAAAGGGTAGGACAGCTTATTTAGAGTAGATGGATAAGGGAGGGTGGCTGAATATAAAAATAAAAGTAACAAACCATGTATAGAAAGTAATTTGGGTGTTCCCATTTAACCTTTCTCATAATAGAAGAGCTGAGGGCCTATAAGTGTATTAAGAAGCAGCCAATATAAACCTGATAAAAAGAATATCTGCTATAATGCAGTGCTTAATTAAGCTGTGGTATGACATGAACCACAAATACTGTAGTCAGCAGCTTAGTGGTAAGATTAGATGCTTGTCTAAATATCCACAGTCATGCTAAGTAGTATAAATACTTCTAAAAGAGATCCTTGCACTTCAGGAATTAATCCAACTTCTAACTGCTTGGAGTTTGGAAAAAAGTGCCTTCTTGGATTGTTGTTAAACTATTTAAATATTTGCACTTTTCTCTGATACATCTGCTCTGGCAATTCCCATCTTTGTAAATTATTTGAAATATAAAACATTATAGGTGTTAAATGATTTTCATAACTGTTGTAATGGCTCGAGCACTGTACCGAGAACTAGCATTTCAGTTCTGTTTCCAGCTTAACCTAGGACTTGCAGAATCAAACTGGGGAAGTCTTTCATCTCTTGCTTTAGCTTCCCCATCTGTAAAATTGATTTATTGACAAACTACTGAGAAGCCTGAATTGATGTCTGTAAAACAGTTCAGACTTTGCTGCACTTTTTGCCTAATATGGTGCTGGTGGCTACCCTCCTTAATATCAGCATTTCAGAAACTGTGCTGCAACACTTCAATTGCCACAGTATTCCAAACTTAAAGAAAAAAAGTCAAATGCAATGGTATGAGAGTCTGGAGAGTCGTGTTAGCGGCGTTTAGTTCCTCTAGAGAAGCTGTGCTTCTGCATAGACGAGATGGATGCCTGAATGCTTATGCAATTAACAAGTTCCAGCTTTCGGGTGATATGTATTTTTATATTGCAGAAGCCAGCTGAGATCGCCAAACATTCCTGGAGGTTTTCCAGACAGTGTTCCTCTCCAAATACTCCAGCATTCAGCTTTGAAAAAAAATCCCTTGACATACCAACAACTCTGAAGCTTTGTCTTGCATATGGACAGGCAATTAATTTAACCATGTATATTTAAACTAATTTTCATCAGAGGTCGTCTTCATACTATTTAGTTATGATACAGTAGACCCCCAGAAATCCCTGTCAGGTTTGGAGTGTCTCTGTGCTGAGCCCTCTGTTGATATGAGTCCCCGTTTTTAAACAAGCTTATGATCTAAATATGACTAGATGTGACAGGTGGTGGGATGCGGAAGGCTAGAACTTGGATTTATTTATTTTCTTAAAATACAAGTGCACAAAAGAGAAATTGCTGCCACTGTCATTGTCATGCTTGATCTTTTTTCTTTAGCCACAGTGGAGAAATGCCTCTGCTGCTTGTTTTCCCTTCAGGTTAGTGAAGTATAGTCAGATTTAATCTGTCTGCTATGCAAGGATTCAGTTCTTTCTCTTTGCATAGCAGACGCAAAGCAGCCAAATTAGGCATTAGACACTTAAAGCAAATAGGAATTGCTGTAGTGGTTTTGACCATTGGCTTGTTTAGTCATGTAATGCATCTTGATGTGCAAGAGGAAATGTGAGAAATCCCACATTGAACAGTTACAGAATAAAGAGCTGATTCCTTCCAGTACCAATCCTTCTGTTCTAGATCCTCAAAGGGATGTGGCCACCTGACCTCCACAGTCCTGAGTCGGGGACCTGCATTCCTTATAGAATATGTTGGGACCATTAGGCAAGCACAAGCAGGATTTGCAACAAGCCGCGCGCTGAGCAGGGGCAGAGGAGGAAGGAAATGCTGCAAGGGGATCTCGGATATATTCCTTTCCTCTTCCTGCAGCTGTGAGCTGGACATCTCTGTGAGATGGGATCAACAGACCCAAAGCCTTGTCTGGAATTAGGTGCTTAAACTGTCTCTTTGGGTACAGGTGATGGGCTTACTCTGTATTTTTTAACGTGGCTACCAGAGGAGATGTTACTGCCTTCTTTATATAACAGCTCAGAGCAGGGGTAGGCAACCCCTGGCTCAGGTGCCAGTGCATGGCATGCAGAGGCATTTTACTTGGTACGTGCACCCCCGAGGCGGATGGTGGGATAGGGGCCAGGGCTGCAATGCCACAACAAGGATTGGGCCCCTCGCGGCTCCCCCGCTGTCTGCCCCTCGGGTGCCAACATCGTACAAGTCAAGGGTGCATGTGTCTTTGGTACTCTGCCCAAAAATGTTGCTGACCCTTGGCTTAGAGGCTAAAGCACTTGCAGAGGACTTGGGGCACCTGGGTTTAATGCCCTCCTCAGCCCAAGGGGACTTGGACCCATTCTTCTGCATCCCAGAAGACAGTCCTATCAATTAATAACCAAGCGAGAGGCAAGTTTGGGAGCTCTCTTCCTTCTGAGCTCAAGATTTGTGGATTAGAAAGACAGAGCAAAAGTTGGCATAGCTATAGCTTGGTGATTAAGGAGCAACTTGGAGCAGGGTTGCCTCCTTTCTCATCCAGGCAGGTTTAGTTCTGAGACTGGCGGAGCTGAGCTGCTTGGTGTCTAGATGGGAGCAGTCCTGGGCATGTGCAGTAACAGAAAACTCTAGGTGCCTAAAGGATTAGCAGGGATTTTGCAGATCTTAGTCTTGCACGTATGCCACTTCTGGTACCTCAGCCCTTCTCCAAATCTGGCCATTAATGTTTGACTTGTGGGCTTGAGGCATGTGCATTTAAAATCTGCTGGTCCTTTTCCTGTGAAACCAAGCAGGATGTTTTCCTCCTTTCTGTGTGTCTTAACGCATTGTGAATCCTGCCAACTTCCTTGTGGCAAGGAGATGTGTAAGTACACTGGGGAGAGCTTTGTGCAGACTGTTCTCTTGTTCATCCATAAAGTGGTTAAATTGGAGCTGCTGCCTTCCTGTCCACACTGTACATAGAGACTTTATATGGAAGTCTCTTGAAGCTGCTTATCTCTGACTATCTGCACATTTCCTGCATCTCTTCATGGATAGGAACCAGAGACTGACTCCATGTTCCACATGAGGAATGTGTTGTAATAAATTCGTTCCATCCAGGAAGAGCACACACCAACTACTGCAGCTTCCTTAGCCTGATGAAGGGTTTTTGAACCCGAAAGCTTACTTAATAACTATTCTCCAACCATGTGGGTTGGTCTAATAAAAGATATCAAATTCACCCAAGGAACCTTGTCTGCCTTGTAATAAATAATACCTTCATAACTTACAAATGCAGCATGCTTGTCAATTGTGGGAGCGAGGATAGCGCAGGCTTCCCAAAACCAGCAGCTCCAGGTCTGCGGTTCTTGGAAGGTGTGTAGGATAGCGCTCTTTGTCAGTTGGATTTGTTCCTTTTGTTTTCACTTCAGTTCATATCCTCTGGGTGTGAATATTAGTTACCATGGCAGAATTATAGTCCTCTGATGATCTTTTCTGTCATCATAACCTTTCGTTTGATGGTGCTGCCTGAGAGACCTGCTGCTTTGAATGTGGCATTGCGTTTCATCCCGACAACTTCAAATGATTCATATGGCAAATAGACTGTATAAATAAGTCCTTTGAGTATTACAAAGTTTTTAATTATTCCTTGCTTTGCAAACCTACATATTCCTAAACAAATATACAGCGAGGTGGTTATGCTCCATTTAGACTAAAGAAACCCTGTGACATTACAAGAAGACTCAAGTAATTGTTTAACTTTGCCTTCTTGGTTCACTTCTCAAAGTGGCTTGCCATGGCTTCTTTATTCACCGCTTCAATTTCCATAGAGTGGAGCTTAGGTTTTTTAAAAGTGTTTTATGCAGGATTTTACTCTATGTAAATTTGGCTTTGCTTTCATTTTTTCTGGTTTATGGAAGAATAAGGTCTTGAATATCAGAGATGAGTTCATGTATTGGTGCTTCTGAATAGGAGTTTTGACTGAATAAATGAAGCCATGGCAAGAAATGTTTGTGGGAGAGAGGAGACACTATCGTCCCTGGCAATTCTCAACTGGTTTATTGCTCATGAGTCCATTTTAGTCTTTTTTTTTGGTGGGGGTGATGGGAGGAGGGTAAAAGGGAGCTGTATGAGGAGTATTTAAATGCAAGTTTTAGCTTTTGGGGATCATTTAACTAACCTCCCGAGTTCAAAATAAACAGTGTAGAGTCACTTTAGCTTTCCAATGCATTTGCATTAGATTTGTTGGGTCAATGACAAGCAGGGCTATTGTTGCTGTAAAAGCTAAACATTATTGCTAAATCTAATAAATAAATCAAACTGGAATCATGGTACCATGCTGAGTTGAACATTAGAGTTAAGTGTGCATTTCCGCAATTCTGGAGGCACTCGTCTTATTGCAGTCTATGCACATAGTCAACCGATTGCTGTAGTATCCAAGTGCTGCTAACCCCTACCCCTTCTGAGCTGATCGCAGTATTTGTGAGAGTCATTTCTGGCGATCAGCCCCAAACTAAACTTTGGTGCAGTTAAGTAGCTTCTAGGTCTTGGTGGTGAAAATCCAGAAGACTGTGGGAGCAGAAAGTATTGTGTGTAGTTTGCAAACTAGCTTCACTTAGGGTGCTTGCACAGATCACTTCTGTTTGCACCTGGAAACGCAGTAAAATCAGTTGCATAGATTTGGTAAATTAAACACACTAATTACAGCTAATCAGGTTCAAAGCTACGTGGAGAAACTAGTTTGGTGGCCTGCTTATAGGTTAAGGAAGTCTCTCTCACTGAAGGCAGATCTGTGGAGTGTGATTGGCTCCCCTTGTAGGCTGTGGTGATTGCTTATTTTGGGTGGGTTGGTCAGACCAATTTCAGGGTTATATATTGAGGTCCTTCCCTTCACTGCGAACTAGGAAAGAACTGATGGGCTCCCTGAAAATCTAACCAGCTCTTCTCTTGATACCCCAAAGGTTCATCAGAGTCGTCATGAGTATTCCTCAGTTTCTTGTGTACCTGTCCCTTTGTGTGGTTTGCATCTTAAGCAAACCCACTGAGAAGAAGGACCGGGTTCACCACGACCCCCAGCTCAGCGACAAGGTCCATGATGATGCCCAGAATTTTGACTATGACCATGATGCTTTCCTTGGTGCTGATGAAGCCAAGACCTTTGACCAGCTGACACCAGAGGAAAGCAAGGAGAGACTGGGGTAAGGAAACAATGTGAAGCAAAGATCTCATTAAGGACAAGAACTTATTTTTTTTTACTCTTGTGTCCTCTTCCAAAACTGTGATCTTGTTCTTTAAAATGAAATCCTGGAGCTTGGGTATGTTGTTTCTTGCATAGCAGAAAACCATTTGGTACAAATGTGCTAAACTTACATCTTTTAAAATGTTGCTCATGAGGCAGCAATAGCTGCAATATCTTCCATAGGACAAATGCCAACTGAAGTTGCACCATTTTTCTGCAGCTTTTCGCATCTTGAATATGGAAATGCTGCCTGGGGAGATGAGGGTCTTGCGCAGCATGGCTCTTGCTGGTTACATCAAGCTAAAGCATTGCATGCCCAGCCTTGTAATTTGAGTGCCTCGTAATCTACCAGCAAGCACAATATCTAAATCAGCAGACATGTCACTTGCCATTTGCACATTTAAATTGTATTACCTGTAACTAGCTTCTGGCAAGCTGTCATTTGAATGAAGCTTGGCTTCTGGTTTTAAAGGAAACTAAAACTGTCTGGCATCACTTGGCTTTTTTGGCTATGCTGTTGCTTCTCAGCTTGTAGGCTGCTAACTATTCCACAAAGAAAGTACCCCGGACACAAGCTAGTGAGACTAATGCCTTTTTTAATTAACTTTTGTTTTATTTCTTTCTTTCTCACTGATTAGAGTAGATAACATCAGAGTAGGGCCTTTAGAAGGAGCTGGGGCACAGCAGTGTCCTAAGCATCAAAGAGCTGCAGCTGTCACCACTCATTTTTTAGATTTAGCTTTACTTTGTGAAGCTTAATCCTGATTTCTTCTGAAAGATTTTGTAGAAGGGTCATTTTGTGAGGCCTCTTCTTTTGTAGTTCCTCTGCACACAGCCTTCCTGCTTTGCCAGATCATCTATCTTATAAAACAGTCCTTTATCAAACTGATGTTTTATAATTCATTGTAATTATAGAAACATAGGGCTAGAATGGACCAAGTCCTCTGCCTGGAGGCAGGATCTTCCCTATCCAAACTATCCCTTGCAAGTCTTTGTCTAACCTATTCCTAAAGCCATACAAACAACCCTGTAGCACCAGCTACAACATGCATTGTCCCAAAACACCAATAAATGCTCTTGTGGCATTAGCACTAGCACTGCAATCTAAACTTCCTTTTGTCTCTTATTCTTTACTTTGTGCTTTTCTGTCGGGTTAGTAAGTAAATGAAACCAGCCACATTCATATTAAAAAATGATACGATTCCTGCATTGTGATTGGGTGGGGGTGCTCTGAGAACAGATAATGCAATACTCTGTCCTCAGATGCTTTTTGACATAAAACAGGACAACTGGCTTCAGAGACATTTAAGGTGCCGGTGTGTATCTTTTGCTTAGGGCATAGATGGAACATTCAGGGTGCAAATATTTGGTGGGAAACCCTTGAATGCAAATATTTAAGGGCTTACTTTTTAAAAAGAGCTCAGTCTCTTTTTTTCTTTTTCTAGCAGACTGCAAAACCTTTCTTTTTGTTGCGGAAAGCCAAATTTCTAGCATAAGCTTACCTGAGTGCCTCTTTAGGGGAATACTCATTGCATTTCTTTTCACTGATGCCAGCTAAAACCCAATCACTTGTTCTATGAAATTTCTTGTTTCAAATGCCAGTTTTCAAGCATTTAGCTATTGCTCATGCATATTTACCTTTATCTGTTGCTTCATGCACTAGATAAGAGTTCCATGAAGAGTCTGGAGGACAGGAACTTAATGATTATCATACTGCATGAGACCAATGGCCTGTGTAGTCTTGTACGCTGTCCCCAATATTGACTGGTACCAGATGCTCATAGGAAAGTTTTCTAGAAATGGACACCTCAGTATTAACCCATCAATTGAGGAAATCTCTTCTAATACAGAGGTCCAGTGTAAAGCCAATCTCAGGTGCTTGTCCCAGCTCAAGGAAGCTGACTTAGAAAGCTGCTGAAGGAGCTACTGCTTGCTCAAATCAACATGCTGTTTCCCTGTTGCACAGCAGCCTAGGAAGGAAGAAAATGTTGGAAATGAAGCCTGTATGTTTTACTGTACCAGCTCACTCTTTTTGTAATGTTCCAAGGCACTCGGCTTCCGGTGCTGATGCCAAGATGACAGCCTATAAGATCTCTTCAGAAAGAAGGCTGCTGTCAGTGCTTATATAACAGTGTATTTTGGGCTGTCAGCTTTAAAATGAAACTAGCACTTTTTTTTTTTTTTTATGAAGGCAGCGGCCCACTGAGAAGCATCAGGAGGCTCCTAAACATGAGCATGTGCAGGAGGGAGTTGCAGCTTAGAAACCTGGTTGGAGTCTGCAGAGTGGGGCGTATAATCCTGCCTTGCAGGGCTACTCTCCAGGCTTCATCCTCAGTTTCTCTTAATGTTGCACCTCTGTTAAGTTATCTTCTGGAAAACACTGGAAGTGGAAAGAGGGCCAGCCTGAAATTTCCTTTCTGAGAAGGTATCGGAAAGGCTGTTTCCACCCACCCCTTCTAGGACACTCTACCTGTTTTATGTTGCAGTGGCACTTCTCTCAAGTTCCTGAATCGGAATTGGTTTCATGCTTTTCATAAATGTCATGCTTGGTCATTGCTAATGAAATGCACCTTCTATTAAAATAAAAGGAAGTATTTCCAGGCCTCTGCTATTGAGAGATTCTTGTCCCAAAGCTTTTGCAGCAATGCTTTGTGCTGCTGTACAGAGCCACTGCTTTTAGGGTTATCTTTCATGCCCGGTTGCAGTGGTATTCAGCCTGTGAGTAGAGCCACTTGTGGCCTGCCATGCTGTTACAGACTGAGCAGATCTGCTTTGGAATGGTTTGTCTTGCTTTGCGTGGTCTGAATGTAACTGCAGTCCTGGATTGGGCAACACTTTCCTAAGTTACCTGAAGCATGAGGCGAAGAGTGTTATGCGAACAAGATCCTGCAGACTGCTACCTTTCCTGGTAGGCAGAACATTAGCTAGTGGGAGAGAAGCGTGCGTGCCAAACCCAGCTGCAAACAACACACAATAACTGCAGCATAATGTCGTGACAGCTGTGATACTTACCATTAAGTACCAGTTTACCTTGATTTGGTGATAGAAAGCACTGCCTGTAAGAGCTTAATAAAGTAATTGGGAAGGCTCCATTGGGACAAGGCCCTTAGTGCACCCTCTTGCCAAGTGGTTATGGAAGTAACATTCATGCGTAATGGGGAGGATATGTTGCTTCATCCCAGAAGATGACGTCCCTAGATGTGTAGAATGGAGGTGGGGCAAGTCTACCGTTTGGGGGTATCCTCTTTCATCTGTAAAACATTTAATGTTGTATGATTAATATTCATTCAGTTCTGCATCTTTTGAGGAAGAGAAATCGGTTGCTTGTGACTTTAATCCTCAGGTGTCAGTTCCCATTATAAAATGTTATCAGTGGTGTTTCAGCATCTCATTGTCCTTCACAGCAATGCCCGCATTCAAGCCCATTAAGTGTTTGCAAGACAAGTGATGATGGTTCCACTTGTAGAAAGGGGAGTTAACTCAGTGCTTTCTGGTTGGGCCCTCTAGATTCATAAATCTTTCAGCATGAATGAAGATAAGAGTTTAGTTACAATATTGTACATAATATTATATGAGAAACTTGTGGGAGGTGACATTTAAATATAGAAATATACAGAAACTTAAATTAATTCTGTTTGAAATACCTAGTTTTAATGCAAATGTAATTTTAAAATACTTTTTAAGAGTCAAAATAAATTGAAATTGTTGGCCTAAATTGAATCTTCTGAAGCTGCAACAAGTAAAACTGAAGATGACCAATGAAGATGAGCGGGAATATTTTTTCTTTATTTCTAGTTGTGTTTGGCAGAGATTCTTACATGTCACTTTCCTTCTTACTGCTTGTCTCTTTCTTATTTTTTTTTTTTTTCTTCTCCTTGCCTCAATAACCTTGTTAGTCATACTTGTACTTCTGTAGGAAGTCTTGTTTTCAAAATTCTGTACAAACATCAATCTGCAAATATCTGGAAATAAACATCTTTGCGCTCCTTCACATGGGTTTCTGTAGCCACCATTTAAAAAAAAAAATACAGTCTCAGATTTGTGCTTTATAAACCACACATCTCTAATCTCTTGCCTTGTAGACTGGTGAGCATCACGCTTGGATGTTCTGATCTGTGATATCAGTGTGCTAGCATTTCATCATTCTGTTCTGGTAGGATCTTTAACACCTTTGCTTGGCTTCAGCATGGAAACAAGCTGGGGTTGCACAGCGTGGTTTTTGTATTTCTTCACTAGTGCTGTCTTTTATTTTTAAACATGTAGAAGTTTGATTCGCAAACTAAAGTAGTAGTAAAATGCAGAGCTGGATTTCTCTGAGAGCTATTGGAGGATGTTGTATTTTTAAGACTCATTTTGTGAAGAATACAAAAACTGGGCAGCCTTGGAGTGAACAAGTCAGCGTTCCAATAACGTGATGCACTAAGGTGACATTGCTGCGTCCATTTTTTGCGTTGCATTTGGGGAATGGGGTGGGGGAGTAATCCTATCTAAAACCATGATCAGTCTAATTGGTTTAGAGTGGTGTTGGGTTGAACAGCAGTTTTTGGCAATTTGCAAAACTGAGATCCGGAACTGATTTGTTCACTCCTACAGAACGGCGCAGTGTATCACCACTGAGAACGCACAGCTCTGCTGAGTAGAAATAGAGCCTTATTTTTCTCTTAACCTTTGCTGGATTTTTCTGCATTTTCTACAGAAAGATTGTAAGTAAAATAGATGAAGACAAAGACGGGTTTGTAACTGTGGAAGAGCTCAAAGACTGGATTAAAATTGCACAAAAGCGGTGGATTTACGAGGATGTAGAGCGCCAGTGGAAGGGGCATGACCTCAATGAGGACGGCCTCATTTCCTGGGAAGAGTATAAAAATGCCACCTACGGTTACATCTTAGGTAGGTTTCTGCTCTTGGAATGAAAGTGTTGCAGAGCTGGCACTTGAAATTTGCTGTTTTGTTTTGTAGAATGATTGTAGGTAAAATAGACACGGATAAGGATGGGTTTGTGACGGAGGGGGAGCTGAAAGCCTGGATTAAGAAGGCCCAGAAGAAGTACGTGTATGACAATGTCGAACGCCAGTGGCAGGAGTTTGACATGAATCAAGATGGATTAATCTCCTGGGATGAGTACAGAAACGTGACATATGGCACTTACCTGGGTAAGGGGCGAGATGTCAAACCTGCAGATGTGGTGGGCTCTGATCAATAAAGCAGATGTGTTACGGACCTGAGAGCACATACTCTGGCCTGGAAGTCAGCAGGCAGTGGAAATGCTGACCCCAGTCTGCCCGGATGCTTTCTTCAATTTGTTTGTGTGGCTAGCACCCTGTGCACATCCGCTAGCCAAATTTCTCTTCCTATGCAAGTCAATTGACAGCAGTTTGTGTTGGTAAAAGGAAATTCCAAGAAAAAAAAATGGGAAAAGCGGGAAGAAACTTAAAGGTGAAGCTTGTTTGAGGATGCAACTTTAACTCTGCTTTATTGATGCTTTCAACTTTAAATCTCGGTCCAAATTCAATCTGAGCAATCATCTTGGTGCTTTTAAATCAAGGTTGTGGGGATGACTGTTTAGCATTTCTTTTGTTTCATTTTCAATATTTTAAGGCACTGGGAGCTTATAGTTCCTGCAACAGTATCTGTGTGACTAGAAAGTCAGACATGTTGTAGCAAGCCCCTGCCGCACTTGCTTACTTAAAATGTGGGTAATTTGGTATTTTCAATAGCGGCTACATTCCTGATTTAATGAAATTAACTTGTCTTCTCTAGTTTTTATCTCCAAGTTTTTAAACATGCAGAAAGTGTGTTGCCTCCTTTCTCCCTTCTAGTATCTACCCCTGTCTTTCAGTTCCTCCACTCTTTTGGCTGTGACCCTACACACTTGGACACTTCTTTATCAGTTTGCCAAGTAGCAGAAGGAAGCTAGCAGCAGCAGCTGTTGGAAGTTATCATGTAGTACAAATCTGCAGAGGCTTGGGAGCCATGGGGGTTGCATATGGGGAACCTGTTCTGGGGCTGTTTGAAGTCAAGGGTGACTGGCAGGAGCCTCTTACTAGCATTGTGTACGTGCATGGGCTAATGGGATAGGCTTTGCCAAGCAGTGTGACCGCTACAGGAATCTTGTAACAAATGATGCTTTCCACGCCCTTCCGGAGACTATTGGGCACTACAGCCACAATCTTCTGGCAAAGCCATTTCCCCTGGGGAGATGTTTCTGTCACTCAGTCCTCCTGGGTAGTTTCAGCTGCCTATTTTCTTTGAAAAAATAAAGCGTGTTTTAAAGCTCAAGACAGACAGCCTCTGCCCTAGGGCTGGAAACCAAGTCCTACACCACTTGCTAGACAGGGTATGTCCCAGACTTCTGTTGGGATCCACAGCACTTCCTTTTGGTGCTGGAAAGCCTAAGGTAACTGATCTTTTAAGTTTGGCAGGGTTTCCTATAGAGAGAAGCTACTTCTACTCCTTTTGAAAGGTCCTCATGGCTTCTGTTTGAAGTCTGTGCAGATGGATGATGATAGTTGACACCAGATCTGCAGGTGTGGGACTGCAAAAAAAATTATCCTCATGATGCAATTCACTCCAAACACTTTTTTTCACTTGTCATGCATGTGGCACTGGGTCTTGAGAGCTCATGAATATTAACTTGGAATAAGCAGCATACCTCTAAGTGCCCCAGTCAAACTCTGATGCAACCGTTATGTTGAATTGCATTGCTATGTTCATTTATTTTCATCTCTGATACACCCTGGCATTTCCTTACTAAGAGTTAATGATTTGACACACTTAAAAATACTCCAGTCTCCTCTTGTTTTAGTGTTCCACTCCCTAGCAAAGCTATGCATGTATGCATAACTTTTTTTTACTGCCCACTGAGGTTAATCAGGAACTACTTCCTGCAGTGCACTTGTAGACCAGAAGATTGTTCACTATTTCACAGTTTCTTCTTTCCTTGCTGACATGGACAGAACTGGAAATTACTCTTAAACTTGTGAATCATGGCCAAAAAATGAACAGATGCCCTTCTCTAATTAAGAACATGCATCTGCCTTATGGGCACTGAGACACCATCCTCCTTTGCTGTAGCTCTTTTGGCTTATTGGTAGGCTTTCGTATCCAGTATTTAAACAGTTTTAGGTTGTTGTTGTTGTTTTCTCTGGGGGTAGAAATAGATGTTGTCAAATGAAGTGCATCAGCTGTGCCCCAGTGCATCTATGGCCCCATGTACCTAGGCCACTTCATTGGGTGAAATGCACATTGCCCGTTGATCCTACAAGACAGGTGACTTATTCCCTGCTTGCAGAGGTGGGAACCTCCAGGGTGCATCTCTGTAGGAGGAAAGCTGGGCAGGTGCTTCTGGGGCTGGAAGGGCTCAATCCTCCATGGGAACTCCCAGGGCATACAGGATCAGGAGTGTCTGTCCAGGTTGGCTGAAGAGCAGGTTAGCTTCACACTGTTTAGACTCTCATATCATAAAGCAAACAGATGCCTGCCACGATAAAGTGGCAGTGACTATTACCACCTTTTGTCATGGCCACAAATCTGGGTTCTTGTAGCATGGTAAATGGTGTGGACATAAAATTTCTTATGGCAGCACAAAGGCAATGCTTTGTTTATACCCTAAGTGACCAGAATCTTGTAGTAAACTCTAATACAGACCTGGTCATCTCACTGCCCTGAATATAGGTGCCTACAAATATCCCATCTTTAGTGTATGTCCCTTGAAGCCGAAGCATATTTCTATGGGCCTACACTGAGCACTATGATTCAGTGGCAAACAGGCCCAGCCTCCTGTTGAATACAGGGTTTAGAGATGTCCTCTTTAAGGCTTCAGGTTTTTGTTATACTTGCCAATGTTCAAGTTCTTTAATGCTGGTAAATTCACTTTATAATTATAGTGTCGCTAGCTTCCTGTATAGACTTCAAAACCCAGTACCTGCTCTTATTGGTATGATTTCCATACGTATTCATGTTAATATTTGGTGGGCCTGCTTTCTGTTCCATCTCCAGCTACTGTAAGCCCTGATAATACCATTGCTATTGTCTGTCCCTCACCCCATACTTCCTCTCAAATGCTCTTTATAGGTACAGTTAAGCTGGCCAAATGAGCTACTAAAGAGCAGTGGTGGATGTTGTTTCTGCAGTGTCAACAGCACCACTAACTGACTTGTGTAGATGCACACATTGAATATTCTTTCATGCTTCTGCTGTGGTTCTGCTTTGTGCTTGAACCGGTTATGTGAATGAAGCCAGTGACTGCAAAATGGCAAGACTTGCTTTGATTCCAAAAGTGAACTTAAACTTTTTCTTGCAACCATGCCAGGAAAAGGTTATACCAGTCTGAAAATATTTCATTAAGCACTTAATTTACTCCTAGTGTGACCTGATCAAGCACCAAGTATAGGACTACAGAACCAGTTAATCATTTATTCTTTAGCTGCTGCTTTTTACTTGCTCTAAATTATTTGGGATGATTTTTCTATCAAGAGTTACACTTTCTCCTAAATTAATGAAGAAACTCATTGTTTTAAACTGCCTTGTTCCTTCTGCCTCACTCAGCAGCCACATATGTTCAATTCACACTGAGTTATAAAAGTGAAGCTGTTTTCACCCAGCTGTAGAAAATGGGGTCATTTGTACTTCCCTCTATGTATTTGGGCCACTGTCAGGAGTATAGGATGACTTCTAAAGGACTGGGCTTCAGGAAGTAAAATGTCCAATAATCTAGTGCTTGAAGCTTTCCAGATCCTGTATCTCATGCAAGCATTCAAGGGAGTAAAATACTATGTTTTGAGTGTAACTATTCAGTGCAGCATGTCATGCCCTTTTTTTTTTTTTTTATTTTAAAAAGGGAAATCCACGTGTTAGCCACAGTGTATGATCATGGCTTAACTGACAAGGGACTGTACACCAGCTGCTCGTATTTTAATGATGCAGCGTACTGTCTGTTCTCCTTAAGTGTTCACTGATAACTAAAATATGCTGTTGTCAGCATCACTTCCCCTGCAACATTTAAATTTTAATGAGGCTGAATTAAATTGGGTGTCTACAAACTCATTGAGGAGGGGGTGGTGGGGGTCAGCAGGCAATAGGGGATACTCTGTTTACCAGGGCATGCCTCGGGGTTACTAGAAACGATGGCCATAAACTGAAGGAGAGTAGATTTAGATGGGACATCAGGAAGAAATTCTTTATGGTGAGGGTTGTCAAAATATGGAATAGACTTCCAAGGGAGATGGTGCTTTCCCCTAACTTGAAGGTGTTCAAGAGGAGGTTGGACAAGCACCTGGCTGGGGTCACTTAACCCCAGTGCTCTTTCCTGCCCAGAGCAGGGGGTCGGACTCAATTATCTAATAAGTCCCTTCCAACCCTAGAAATCTATGAAATTGAGTCTCCATAACTTCAGGTACTGAAGTGGAGATGCAGGAGTAGCCAGATAGTGTTTTGTTTTACTCTGAATATGGCCTGTTGGCAGGAGAACATTGTGCTGTTATGTACTGTAATTCAGAAATAGCCACAATCTAGTCCACACCCTCTGATCTTCCCTACAAAGAATAGAGAGCCCATTGAGACGACAGGGGTTCAAGTAACTTGTTCCACCTTTGATCAAAGAGGTCTCGGCCCAGTAAGTCGAGAAGCAGGTCACGTTTATGCTGCCCTCCTGTTTAAAGTTTGAAGCTGCTTGCCATCTTTTCCGCTTTGTGCAACGTAGGTGGAGTTCTTGGATTTGGATCAAGTGTTCAGTGTGACCACTGATTCTGGGTTGTGAGGTCGGGCTCACCCGGCACAAGCATTGTGAGGCTTGTGTAAACAGTTGAGAGCAAAAGCATGGCACAGACTCGAACGTTGGGGCAATTATCCTGTGAATGAGATCTGGCATCTGATATGGCTCTAACTCTTCTGTTCCTGCACAGATGACCCAGACCCCGATGATGGGTTTAACTATAAACAGATGATGACAAGGGATGAACGAAGGTTCAAAATGGCTGATAAGGATGGAGACTTGATTGCTACTAAGGAAGAATTCACTGCTTTTCTGCATCCAGAAGAATATGATTACATGAAAGATATAGTGGTACAGGTGAGGGTCCTGGCATCTGGCTGGTGATTGGAGAGGACAGTGTGCACTGAGTAACACGCACAACTGTGTTGCAGAGGCAGTTTGAGAGCCTGATACTGATGATGGCTAGAACACGCATCACTTCAGTTCAAACTTGTTCTTGGACCTGGTGTAGCACTGCTATGCACGCTGCAAGGGCTGGGGGCTGTTGGCACATTCTGAGTGCCAAGAAAGGTTCAAGGAGCCAGTCCCACCAAAATGAAATACAAACAGATTTAAATTTATAATAGTAAATGCAGCAATGAAATACAGAAAAGATATACATGACTTAACAGTACAGACAAAGCACATCATTAAAACTTTAGAAAGTACATATCTAGTTAATGAATAACAATCTTACTGATGCTTGAAAGCAAAATATCCTAAAGTTTTAAAAAGCCTTGAACAGGTGGCCAGCCTGTTAAGGGTAGGACCTTCCTAACAACTTAATTTTGAACTGTAGGTAGAAAACCAAGTACACTTAAAATTGGGCAGTTCAGCCAGAACCATTTCTCTTCAGTCCTGAGCTAACATTTCAAGGCAGACCTGATTATTTTAACCAAGCAAGAGTATAAAATATCAAGAAACTTAGTAAGGTAAAATATAAAAGCGTTTCTAATAGATGCTACTCTAAGATTCATGTGCCTATTTTTATTCTTTATTTGTACTACAGCTTGCCTAAAATTAGCCGCATCTAATCACTAAGTGAGCTTTTTAAGTGGCCCTTGGCACACAGCACTTTGGTTTAGTTCTTTTTCCATTCCATCTTTCTCCAATTCTCTGAAATAAGTCACGCCTTTTTGATACCTTCGGCCTGATTATTTCCTTTGCCTCATCTTCTCCTAGCCAAACAATTAGTCTACAGGATGCTAAGGAAGGAACCCCCTCAGCCCATGTGGGAGGGAGCACCTTTTTAACCTCCAACTGAACCATTTTTTTTTCCCTTCCTCCCCACCCCTGTAGGAGACCATGGAAGATATTGACAAGAATGGAGATGGTTTCATTGACTTGGAAGAGTACATTGGTAAGCAGCTCCTTAAGTTCAGTTTCCTTGAAGTGAGCACCTGAGGCATCATACACTTCTTTGCTTGGTAAAAGTTTATTCCCAATGAAAACTTTCTTAGAGCCTGCTATATAGTACTGCCAGTTCAGCCTAGAGCAGCTGCACCCTTTGCTTTTCTCTTTCTCTCTTCTCCAACCACCTTGGGCTTTTATAATGTCATCCTTTCCACCCCAATATTGGAACTGAACCGAAGTGTTTTGCTCTTCATTTCTCACCATGAAATTCCATGTTAAACAAGTAATCATAGTGACATCCATAGTTTGCCTGGGCAGTATACTAGTGTGGTTCCAGAACCTTAGAAAGAGGGGAACTTCTGCTCTAAATCCACAGTATCAGCTTTTCAATGTATTAATGGGCCCTGCCAATTATGGGACATCCTTGTTCTTCTGGTGGGATTAAATAGCAGCACAGCTGCCATGCTAACTCTTACTTTCAGACAGGGGAAGATATCCCCACTTCTGTCCAGTGGGGAAAAAGACATCATGCATTCTTCTAAACATATCTAAAAAGGACGTTTTTAAAACTTCACTGTCTGGACTCTGCCTGAGAAACCAGGTGGCTACATGGACTTTAACTGATGTTAGGAGAGAGTGCAGTTTCATAGTTGTGTGATGTCACCTGTTATGGGCAGGTCTAGGATTTTGAAAACGGACATGTAGATGTGCATCATCACACATCACTAGCATAACACCTTTTTCTCCACTTAAAGAGAAACTAAAAGCTTTACTAATATGCTAAGGGTTTAGGACTACATCACTCAGTTTAAAATTAAAGCCAAAACAAGTATAAATTTAGTGCAATGTGCACTGATTTGCTAGATTAAACTTACAAAAACAGACTAGGCAAAAAAATTAGTCACAAGATATTTTTTTCATCAGTCCTGTATTCATTATAGCTGAATATACATCTCTTACTCGGGTTCATAAAACAAACTTAAGTTGTCTTAAATGCCTTGACAGTACCTCCAATACTTCACTGTCAGTCCTCTCTACATCCAAGTTTTAGTATGACCATACCCGAGTTAAGGTTTTATCTTGAGTTAAAAAACAGTCTTCAGGGCTGTGAAATAGGAGTCGGACATTACCAGGAATAGCTAACACAACAAAATTGGGTGAACTGAACAGTGGGACATCAAAGCTGTCAAAAAAGAGAGGGTGTCGTAATCGCCTGTGAATTAGAGAGAGCAGCAGGAGTCGGGAAGATTATAATGAGGCATGAAGTCAGTGGACACCCTCAGCTTCCTGAATAGGAATGCTGCTGGCTTTTCCAGGCAGTGGTTTCCAAGTTTGGACAGAGAAGGAATCAACTGGGGGTGTGTCACTGCACCACTGCATGCCCTAGATCTGGCCCTGTTACTTGGGGTCTGTGTCCTCTAAAGCATTTGCTGCAGGGTATGTAGCTCTTGATTAATCAGAACTAATGCTGGATGCTGGGATCTGCAGTTTCTTCTTAAAGGTGAGGACGGAGCTTGCAGCTGCTCTTAGCTGAGTGACATGCCCTTGCAATTTGTTAGCATCCAAGAACTTGCCTCACCAAGGCAGGGCTAATATTTTTGGTGTCTTCCTGCAGGGGATATGTACAGTCACGATGGTGATGCTGATGAGCCCGAATGGGTGAAGACTGAGCGGGAGCAGTTTGTGGAGTTCCGAGACAAGAATCGGGATGGGAAGATGGACAAGGAAGAGACAAAAGACTGGATCCTGCCCTCAGACTATGATCATGCTGAGGCAGAAGCCCGGCATCTTGTCTACGAGTCGGATCAAAACAAGGTGAGAGGGGCTCCTATTGGTGTCTGCTGCACCAAATGGATCTTTCCCAATGTGCTTAGTTTTTTTTCTGGTAAGCATGAGTGAAAGCCTGTCTCGCTGTAGAGCCCTGCAACAGAGGGATGGCTCTCGATCATTCTGGACTTGAGGCACCCCTCAGAATGCCAGCTGTTAGCTTTTGCTGTTCTGACTGGGAAAAATAAAGCTTTTCTGTTGTAGAGAACTCGAAGACCACAAAAGGTCAGAATGCTTACAACAACAGCATGGATTTCCATTTGAAATCTTTGGGTTTATTTTTTTTTAATCATGTGGGCAAACCTAATATTGTCTCTGGGTGTCATGCAATATTAGTGCACTTTAAAGGATTTCAAGGCACCCCAGTATGTCACGGCATCCTGGTTGAGAAGCACCGTCCAAAAGGAAAGGCTTTTCACGGGATTGAACAGGATCGCTAATGCGGCAGCTTCAGAATCGGAACTTCCTGAGCCTCTGATTGCTGGAAGCTACAGAGGGAGAGAACCGGGGTGGAAAAATTTGGGCCTACCCTGTTTGCCCTGCCCTGTCGGCATCTACTGTGCTACTGGGTCCTATGGTCTGACCCGTACCTGTCAGTTCTGTTTGGAAGTGCCTCCATATAAATGACGGAGGGTGGGAACAAATAGCACTGTGACTCTGAGGTTGTATATTGTCTCTTGCAGGATGGCAAACTCACCAAAGAGGAGATCGTTGACAAGTACGACTTATTTGTGGGGAGCCAGGCCACAGACTTTGGGGAGGCCTTAGTACGGCACGATGAGTTCTGAGGCCTGGACAGAGAAACCAATTTCTTCAAAGTAATTTATTTTTTACAGCATCTGGATTGACACGAGAAACGTTTTCGCTACTGAGACTGTTATTTCAGGCTAGGAGGTGGAAAAAAAAAAATCAATCCCGTCCTTTTTCCTTTTTCCCAAAGGGATGGGGACTTTGGTATTCTGCAAACAACTCTAATGATGACACTTGGTGGTTGTTGGTTTTGGTTTTTTTTAGACTTACACTTTGTTTGATGTCTAATGAGCTCTGTTTATTTTTGTATTTGTTCTGGTTCCGTGTGAAATGAAGAATACATATCCTGAAATGTTTAGCTGTAGAGCAATGGTAGGTCCTTGCCCACTGCCCCACCAACCCTCTATCCCCTTGACCTTTGTATGTACTTAGCTACAGGATTTTTTTTTTTTTTTTTTTGTTAAGCCAGAGAACAAGGCCAAAAAACAAAGAGGAGTGACGCTAGTTTTGACAGGGGGAGAAGGGCACGAGTTTGGTTGATCTGAGGGCCGCAGCGGAAACTAGTTAGGAACCCATAGCGTGCTTACAACTAAGTACTTGGTACTCACTTCAAGACAAGACATTCACTCAGCGTTCTGTCTTGCTGTGCTTGGCCAGGCTTGCCCACTGGTTTCTCTTGTCTCTGGATGTGCTGTAGGACCTGGGGAGATGCTTGACTGTCCTTTGGACCACCCTTTGCAAACAGTAAAGTAGCAGCAGCAGGGCAGTAGGGATTCTCACTCTTCTCCATAGACCTGAATGAGCTGCTAAAACCTAAGGTAGTTTGACTCATAAAATATGTGGGAGAAGCTTCCTACCCAGAGGTACATGGTAGAGAGGGCAGTCTTGCAGATGCTGCTAGCATCCTTGGTTTGAGTTGCCTGCCCCTGGGAACCATCAATGCTATTTGTGTTACTCTCTCAATTCTGGCTTCCCTGAACACGGTCACAACCATGTGGCTGCACTTGGTGGCTCTGGATGAAGCAAGGAACTGATGTGATGTGTGAGCCCTGCATGTTGCATTAAGGGAAGCAGTAAGAAAAGCAAGCAATTCTGCATTGGTCCCATAAGGAAGCAGCAAAGTGCCTGCCTGCGGCTTGTGCCGTGGGGCGTGGGGGAAAGACGGTAGGTGGGTTTCAGTTCTTGTGTAAACTGTTCGCCTTCTGCAAATCATGCATCATTGAAGTGCCTTTACTTACCAGAGAAGCAGTGCTGGGTTTCCCAGGTAGGAATCCCCAGGTGAAACGTGCTAAAAGAAGCTAAGAAAACAGCAAGGCTCCAGGAAAAGCTGGAAAGAGAAGTTCCCCCTTGTGTCCTTCCTCCGAAGCAGCGTGTAGACAGCAGCCTCTGATCTCCTTGGGGACTTCTAACCATATGCTGCTTGCTTCGCCAGGGATATTCTCTTTTGCCTCAGAAATCAAACCACTTATTTCATAGCATCCTGAGGCATAGTCTTGCGCAGTGTTCCTCACCCAGGGAGAACAGCGGTTAGAGCCAGCCACATAGGGGAGTGCCACGTGAAGTCTCATCTGTCCCGTGCTGGCGGCTGTTACTCAGAGCCGGTTTGCACAAGTTGGTGGGTTGCTTGCACTTGTCCTGCCTGGGGCATGGTGAAGGGGGTAGCTGCAAACTGAAATCCCTTCCTTCATTGCAGTGTCCTGCAAATGCTACAGGCCTCTAGGCCCTGGGCCATAATAAACATGGACTTTCTGTCCCCTTTCAGATTGGATTGATCATTTCATAGATGAGAAGCTTGAGACATTGTGTATACTCCTAGTATTTTATGTAACTTTCTAAAAATAACACTTTTGATATAACTTGAGACAGCAAATCCAATCATCATAATCATTGTTGTATATGACGTGTATGGTTTCTGTGCCTTTGGTGTTCACCCCTAAAATGTGGATCTTACAGCTCTTGGATGTACTTCATGGCTTTGGGCAGCCAGGAAAAGCCCTGGAGAAAGACAGTGGGGCAGCGAAGGAGAGCCAGGCAGGGCTGTAGGATTAAGTAGATAACAGCCTGAGTCTTTCATATCTGGCAAAATTTGAGCCTTGCTTCCAAAACAAAATCAGCTGCTTCCTGGCTTCTCTTCCTCTCGCACACGTCCATGTGACCTGACCTAGATGGCTGTCCCTACTTAACATGGGCCAGGGCTTCAAAGCCAGCTGCCATACGTTGAGAGCGAGCTGTCCGCAGGAGGCTCTCGCAGCTTCCGTCTGCGCTTAATGTTCAGACACTTTTTTTTTTTTTAATGTTTTTTGAAGAACACTAAAGTTTTCTCCCATCGGTGAGGCAAAACTGAACCCGTAGCTGCAGCAGCAGGAAGGTTTTACCCATTTCAGAGCTCTGCGACTGTGCAACTTATTATGTGTTCCCACTTGTACTGTATCTTATCCAAGCAAATGTAAAGCTGGTGAAAAACAGATCGCACCCCAGCCCTGTTTGTTCCCATTGATACTAGTCTTCTAGGATTTTTTTTTTTTTTTTTTTTTTTTTGAGTGTAAACTGAGTTTTAGAGCAGCCTCAGATGGTACCTGAATGGCAGTCTCAATAAAACTGTTTGCATTCACTCCGGTTTGAACTGTCATCCCTTGACTTCAGGGTCTGGGAAGGAGCACGAGTGTCTGTGCTGTAGAATCACAGAAAAGCGAGGTTGGGAGGGACCTCTGGACTTGGCATCAGGTCCAGCCCCTGCCTGAGGCAGGATTGTCTCTATTCAAATTGCCCTAAGCAAATTCTTGTTTAACCTATTACTTAAAGTACACGGGGAGCCTGCCCCATAGCTAGAAAGCATAGCACACAAACCAGGTAGAGTGGGGAGACTGCGGTGGCCAATGTCCTGCTGCTACAAAGATTAAACTAGGGGGGAGTAGCCCTACCCCTACAGGGGAAGGCCAGCCCCCACCCAGTCTGTACCAGTCTGACCTTGGGGTAAAATTCCTTCTTGAGCCAAAATTTGGTGCTTGGGCTGACTGAGTGGAGGGGCAAGACTCTAGCTGGGAGTCTCTGGGTTTTTGCCCCACAGGAACACTGGCGTATCACAGTCACAATCCTTGATGTTGCAGCCAGCACCCAGTGTTGGATGGCAAAAAACCATCCCTGATGGGTCGCAAGAGAAAGGGGTGGGAGGGTGGGGGGTTCCTTCCCAGTCCCATGCGACAAGACCTGGCAAGTGGGGACATGGTGTCTTTGGGGCATGTGTGGGCCCAATCTAGGCTTTCAGAGCTGGGTGGAGGCAGCTTGGGACCAGATCCTAGTACATGCAGCCTGATCCCTCAGGACCAAAAAGTTGAGCACTGCTGCTGTAGGGGTATGATGTTTGCTTTTTGTGCAAGGTCCCAGCTAAGCCTGGTCCTGCTCCTTCATGGGTTGATCCCAGCCTGGGGACCCCTGTCCTGTCTACAGCATCCAACCAGCCTGTGGGACTGCCAGGGGAGTCTCACAAATGGTACCAAAGGGTGGGATCGAGGGCAGAAGGGTTGGAGCTGCAAAAGGCAAAGATACTGGAGGGATGGAGCATGACCTTGAACTCTGTCCTGCCTGACTTGAAGAGCATGGACTTGAACTTTTCCCCTACCTGAATCAGACCCCCCCCATCCACTCCACTCCACTTTTTTATTTCCATTGGCCCTGGCCTGCCCAATGCCCCTGCGCAGTGGACCTCTATGCTCATCCAGTAAGCCCACAACTCCTCTGAAACAGCCTGTGGCTGTGGAGACCAACCAGGCCGTGGGCAGTCACTTCATGAGTTACCAGAGGTAGGCTGAGGGTATCCGCTGCAGTCCCAGTTGTCCAGCTGAGGGTTGAGGCTGTATCCTGGTCAAGGGGGATGGGGTGTCCTCCTGGGCACCTGGCTCCTCTTCTCTGTCTTCATGGGAGAGACCAGGCTGCGCTGGGCTGGTGCCCGACTGCATTTTGTTGCTTCTTGCTGACTTGGCTGCTTTGGGTTTGAATCCCTCTAGTCATCATAACAGTGGCCTGCACACCCCTGGTGTGCCAGGGGTGATGAAGCCTTGCTAGGCCCCGCAGTGTCTTTCCCAGCACAGGTCGGACAATGGTACGATCCTGTGTTTAAATTGTACCTGGGCTTGTGATAGGTGTAGGATGGCGGGGTCCAGCCTAAGGGTTCTGGGGAGCAGGACCTGGAGAGCACGATGGGCCCCAGGGTGCAGGCGCACCTGCACTTCTGTGCAGTAGCCCTTCCCTCTCCCTTTCACAAGCCCCACAGCAGAGAAGTGGGTCTCTTCCCCCTGTACCACGATGGGCTCAGTTGGGGGCTGCACTGGAGTGGGGGATGCTTTTCCCTAGGCCAGATCCCCCTGTAGCATAGCGGGGAGTGAGGGAACAGCCAGACTGGGGTGGAGTGGATATAGGAGATCCTGCTCATGGGACAGTGGGTCTGGTGCTCCAGGAAGCCCCCATCTATGTGCTGGGGCCTAAAGGCATCCTGGATGGATTGTGGGGACCTGCTTCTGGAGCGCTGGTGGAAGCTACTGGCAGAGCCCGGGCTCCATCCTAGTGTGGCTTGGTGGCAGGATGTGATACCTACTTTAGGGGTGGGATGTCCTGGGAGCAATTCCTGAATGTGCCTCCAGTGCCTTGCTTTGCCTTGTATAGATGTAAATGCCCGGGTAGTGGCGGGGCTCAGTGCCTGCAGGTAACACTCCCCAGCTCAGCTCTCAGTCTGCTCCTGGTGGCAGCAGCAGCTCTGGCCCCTGGAAAGGCAGTGATAAATCGCTCCTGCCTTGGTTGCACTTCTGGCTCCAAGGCTGGTGGAAGGGAGTGGTGGGGGCTGAAGAAGCCTCCCCTAGGACTGAGAAAGCCCTGCCCTGCCTTGCCCATGCCACCCCCTCCCCCCTGTTAACCCCAAGCTGGGCTGGCTTGAACCAGCAGCCTTCTGCTTGGCCTTCCAATGCAGTAGCCATGGCCCCCAGAGCCCCTGCATCTCCTTTCACATTCTCCCAGCTATAAAAATGGCTGTCCCCTACCCAGAGCTGAGCTGGACACTGACCACTTGGGGTGGGAAGGGCAGGAGCTAGAGCAGCCCCACAGTGCTGCCACAGCTGCCCTTTCCCCTTCCTCAGGCCCTGGAAAGAGCCAGTGAGCAGAGCCAGAAACATGGAGGGTATCTCTACAGAGCTGGGCTGAGTAGAGACCCAGGCTGGGAGCAGAGGGCACAGGCCTGAGCAGCGTGAAGGTGGGACTAGGTAAAAATGGGCTTGTCCAGGATTTGAACCTGGGACCTCTTGCTCCCTAAGCAAGAATCATACCCCTAGACCAACAAGCCAAGGTAAGTGCTTATTTTTCCAGATGTCTTCAAGAAGAGATGCCAGCGGGGCTGGAAATTTCTCCATGCCCCCAGGCTGTCATTAGCTCTGTGGTTTCCAGCCCTGCCTGCAGCTCTGCTAAGCACACATGGGCTGAGCCCCATCCCCTGCCAGTGGGTAGGGCAGGGCCTGATTCTCTCCCAGCTTCCAGCTCCAACCCCAGCAGCCCCTGCCTGGCTTGTAGATGCCCGGTCATCCAGGCTGTCCATCCCAGCCTGTCCCCTCCAAGCACAGACAGAGCAGCACCGGGCTCCTGGGACTTGTTGCAGCCAGGGCAGAATCACCCTGAGACCCCGCAAGAAGAACAGGCAGCGATCGAAGTCCCAAGCAGACCAGCTCAAGGAAAGTGCCTGTCTCCCCCCAGCCCAGCCTGGAGGCATCTTGCTCCCAACTCCACACTGGGACAGAGGCTTCAAGGTGCACAGAGCAACAGAGAGCTGATGCTGCCTCAGCCAGGGCAGCAGGGTTCCCTGGGGAGCAGTTTTGGCTTCAAATGTCTAGGACGTACCACATGTCCAGCCCCAGGGCGCCTCTTTCCATCTAGATACTCTTGCACATCCCATCTGCACACCATCCGCAGAGTGTCCCAGAGCCCCTGCCTATGGCCCCAACTCTGGAATGCTGCTTGCACCCTTGTGCCGGGCTTTGGCTTGGACAGGTTTGATGTTAAGATCCCTCCTGGTTTTCAGCCACATTGTCTGGAGGGACATCGTCTTGGTCTGGGACGGGGGAGCTGACTCAGCAGGCAGCAAGGGCAGGCTCTGTGTGTAGCACGTGGAAGATCAGGGAGGGGAGAGGCAGTACTATGAGAGACAGGGCAGAAAGCAGAAAGCAGAGCAGCAGACGTGGCAAGGGAAAGGATGCCCGGCATGCCTGCAAGAAGGTTTGCCCTCAACAGCCTGAAAAGTCCCACAGGGATGGGGGGAAGGGATTCACTGGGGATTTGAACACAGGACCACTGGCATCCAAGGGGAACTGAGACAACAGCTGGCAGAGCGGCAGCTTGCCCACATATAGCACCATTGAGGGAGGGGGCGGGGGGGTGCAAGAAATTGCTGGAGACCCACAACCACACATCCCTGGGAAACTTATTGGTCTGGGGGCTGATTATCTCTTGTTGGGGGACTTCCCAGGACAAGATTTTTCCCCTCTGAAGGGGAAAGGAATTTCAGTCTTGAAGCTGCAAAAGACAGCACCTCTGGACTGGAGAAACTAGGAACGTGCGTCAGATTGGTGGTATTGGGCATAAGCACAGAGCACTGCCCTGGGCTGGGGAGAGCAAGGGACAAGCCTCACCCATTGCTGTATGAGACTTGAACTCAGAACCTCTCCAACATAAACCTTGCTGGCACCGCAGCTCTTTCCCTGGGCTGGATACAGGCAGCTCAGACCCTGAAGGGAAAGGGAAAGGAAAAGGGGCCATCTGGGATTAAAAACTGGGACCTCTGCCATCATAAGCAAGAATCACAGCCCTGGCCAAAGCTGCCAGCTGGGTGCAGCCCCACCACGGCCAGTGTCTCCTTGTAGAAGCAGGCAGGGCTGGAAAACTCCTTCCACCCCCAACACTGTCATCAGGGCTTGTGGTTTCCAGCCCTGTCCATAGCTCTGCTAAGGACACAGAGGGAAGAGCCATGTCTCCAGGAGAGTCATTGGTCTGGGGGGTGATTGTCCCTTGTGAGGGGACCACCCAGCGCCACAGGATTTCCCAGGAAAAGGCTGTTCCCCTTCAAAGCAGGAAGGGATTTCAGCACCTCTGCCCTGGGGGAAACTAGGAACATGGGTCAGATCGCTGGTGTTGGCCACAAGCACAGACAGAGCACTGCCCTGGGCTGGGGAGAGCAAGGGACAAGCCTCACTCACACCCCATATGAGACTTGAACTCAGGACCTCTTGAAGCTATGCCCTGCCAGCACTGCAGCCTTTACTCTTCCAGCTCTTGCAGCCAGGGCCAGGCAGAGTCTGGTCTTCGGGGGGCTGCAGGCAACTTCAACCCTAAAACCAATTGAAAAAAGGGCTCGTCCGGGATTTGAACCCGGGACCTCTCGCACCCTAAGCGAGAATCATCCCCCTAGACCAACGAGCCAGCTGTGCACAGA